AGGGTTTAGGGTTGAGGGGCTTTAGGCTCTCACATCTCGGTCATGCCTGGCGAGGTTCATAGGTACGAGCCGGCGTGAAACAAGCATTGCTTCCTAGGGTTTAGGGTTTAGGCTCCCAATAAGATGACACGTTGTTTCTTCTCAGAGGCAGGTGGCAAACACACCTGCACTGGCTATGCTACTCTAAGAAGTACTGCATAACATGAAGGACATTCCCTCATTCCGTGTTGCATGCCTGAGTACGCCTGCAATCACACGTTTTTCGACTCGGACGCAAATGGTTAGCGGAACACGTCTGCGATGAGACACGAAAACTGAAGAAATGTTCCCGGGTTCATTGGCGAGACATTTTCAAGCTCTGTCATAAGCAAGGCATATTTACGATGAAATAGCAGGCTTGGGTTGCTGCTTGTTGCGATACCTGTGCCTAAGCGGGGAACAGCAAGGAGATAGTTTTGGAGGCTGGAACAACAGCCTTACTTGAAGGATACTGTGTCGAACACATGGGAAGGCCGTTCACACTCAAGCCCAAGAGCTGTGATCGGCTTCCCATGACCGCATCCATTTGCCACTTCAGCAGTTCGGGTTCTTTACCGAAACCAAATCCTAAACTCTTTGTGCTACTGGACTCCAGTCTAGCCAGACTACGACCTGCCCTCATCTTGACCGAGGCCGACATGCAGCATCGATAGCACAGCCGCTCCTAAACCCTCTCTCTCCCACAGGCATTCGATACGTCAAGGATGGTCCCACTGTGATAACAAACATGATTGGAACGTGAAGCTGTCGCTTCTGCATTCAACGTCCAAAACCCTAAGACCCTCGTGTCATGGGGCCTCTGTCTCAGCCAGGCGAAGGCTGCCAGGCCCAGGGCGGATAAGCCGACGGCTGCCGGAAGAAGCAGCCCACGGCGAAGCATCTCCTCGCCAGGTCAGCACCCAGTGAAACCAGAACATCAACATACAAGTGCATTGAGATGTGAACATAACCGGATGTATGCGCACATGTCCTGCCGACAAGACATACCCTTTCTGTGCGTGTTTCAGGACACTGAGTTCTATGAGCCCCAGAAAGGCTTGGTAGCTTGGCGTTCAGTTAAGTCTGAACGTGTCTGAACAATTGTCCATGGCTCCATGGCAGTACGATTGAATCAACAGAAAGAAGGAATACCGATGACAGCAGCAATGATAGTCTTCGAAGTCGTAGCTTAGGCAAGCCCTCCTTGCAGCAGCAAATTCTACAGGCACTTCCTCATACAGTAAATTGCCACGGCTACTGCCAGCTTAAAACCCCTGCAAAACCTTTCCACATCTCATATGACACTATAGACGCTATATGAAAGCCCTATACAAGACATAGTCCTAAATCCAAAATCCTACACATCTCCAGCCCTACAGTTTGGGTATTGCCCTGCTCCCACTCTGTAACAGCTAGATTGTTTTCACATTCTAGAACGCTTATAATTATAAATAAATACATATATAAATATACATCTGTGTATATATATATATCTATATACACATACACACACATATACACACACACATACACACACACATATATATATATATAGATAGATAGATAGATACACATATAGCAGTATATAGCCCCTAAAGTAAGGGCAGCGACTCTGGCGGTCCTCGGGAGGTGCGAGGAGCTGCAGCGGCCCAGCGCGCCTGCTCTGGATTTTCGAGGCCCATGCGCTACTTGGAGGTTCATTCTTTAAGGGCTCCTTTAAAGGGTTCCATAGGGTTTTTAGGATTTTCCCTCCAGGGTTTTAGGGTCTAGGGTGGGGTTTAGGGTTATAAGTGGGGTTATAAGTAAGGTAACTATAGTTATAACCCGAAATTAGGGGACTTATAATCCCACTTATAAAATAACTACCCATGAACCTCCAAGTAGTGTCTCGGAGGACACCCGAAAGTCAGTGGGGTATAGGGTTGCGAGACTTTTTCGGGATTTGCTCTTTGAGGATTCGTGCCACCGGCTTAGGGTAGTGTGTTTGTCTAGTGAAACATGATACTGACAACCACCCAAACACACCGTGCAATCTACTGGCTGCGACCTTCTGTGACTCCATGTACAATCGGACCTTTGCCAACTCCAGCATCAGCAGAAGTTAACACGTAAAAGGACAAAATAAGATCTGACACAAAGCCAGCATCTCAGCTCATCGGCACTTCTCTACTCAACCAAATGCTGCAATGCGCACACCACTTCACCATCACTAGTCAATACGATTTCAACCAACGTAAAAAATAATTCTAGCGACAGAACCCCCGTTTGATCTTGTGCAAGAGTTTACCTGTGGCGGCGAAACAGCGTGATATAGCTGAGTGGTGCTGCTGATTAGCATGCTCATATTCCCGTTCCAGTCCCTGCAAAGGGACCTTAGTATGCCTGCAGGAAGAAGCTCCTGTTAATTTGACTGGTGCTTGTGCTCTTCATAGCTATAAAACATGACCCCGGTACACGAACGTTCCTGAACGCGCAGGTCGGTCCGGTTTCGGACAATGGTACAATCCTAATGTAGACCCTACTTGTAGAAAACGATCCGTAAACCGTGTGCAATATTTTTTATAATTCAATGTTCAGCGACCATGAAGCCTCGACAAAGCCGTCTGTCAACTCTGAATGCCAAAGCAGAAGTCCCAATTCAAAGACACCCTTCTTGCACTTTGAGTGCCAACTAGGGTCGGTTGCGAGACATTTCAAGCAGTCAAGGTTCCCCTTAACCCTGAACCATGGATTCGATGCCACGCGGCAGGAACATCGCCGGGGATGGGCTGGGGGCGGACGAGTCCTGGAGATCGCAGTGGCGAAGTCTTGAGCGACAAAGAGGGTCGAAATCAGCAAGGTATGTGCGATGCTTAAGATGTAAGCGGAGGGCAGACGGCGGGGGGTGGCAAGCCGTTAGTTGCAGCATCTGCCGCATATCGAATCGTACCGCACACCGAGACCAAGGTTCGGAAGTTCCAGCTGGAAGATAGATTCTACAAGCTGTTTGTCATGATCATGCTCAGTAAGTTCTGTCTGATCCGCTTAGGACACCTTGATCCCTGAACCGCCGCGGATTGCGCACCTTTGTGTGTGGAACAGAATGCCATGTCAAATGAGTACGCGAGTTGCGATGACTGAGTCAAGGAAGGAGAAGAACCCAAAGAACCCAATACCCCT